GTGTAAATGTCACTGTTCCATTTCAGCAATGTTGCAGATTGATATTTACTGGAGATTTCAAGTTAATTTTACCATGGAAGGCTCTTTATGCAGAGAAATAATGATAACACAAAAAAAAAAATCTTACTCATTACACAATAGTTCATTGGAAAGGCTTGGAGTAGAAATCAAGTTGCCTGACAATTATTTCAGTCTGTTACCCATTTTCCTCTACAGCCTGCTTTCAGCATTTGATAGAGACTTCTGCTTAAAGATAAAATAAAAAAATATGTGGTTCAACATTTCAAACCTATTTTTCATATATCAGAATATATATGTGTGCTTTCTAAGGTCCTTACCAAGGGTCTTTTTTATTTATTTATTTTTTAATTTTGCTTTATTCTTTGCTTTGTTTCATGTCTATTCAATTTTATTTATTCCATGTTTTCTTTTTGTTTTGTTTTTGTTTTTAGTTGTATCTGGTAAGTTGAAATTTTATTGGCCATCTTCTAGTCATCGTATCACTCTGACGGGAACTTCTCCTCCCCTTCCCATCCATCCCCTTCCATGTCCTTCAACCAGTCAGCTCACATCTTTTACTTGTTATTGACAAGACACATCGCACAGAATAAATTCTGCATGAAGTATGGGTAACTTAATGGCAAAGAGAAAGGTAATGGGTTGCTAACTTTCTGTCTGTTTTTACATGATGTAACAAGTCAAATCCTAATGTCTTCTTTCTCCATGGGACTGCATTAGTTGAACCTCAAAGTGTTCTGTAAAAAATATTTTTGTTTTAAAGGTCTCAAGGATAGAAGTTGTGCTTTCCTTAAGTGGATTATTATTTCAGCATCTTTTACAGTATATTCATCACATACCACACGTATGTGACCCAAGGTGTGAAAGCAAACTGAAGTTAAAAAAAAGACATTGAAAATGCTTCCAGTGCAGTGAACGCTGAATAGAGTTTAATAACAAAGTTTCACTTAGCCCTGTTTTAATCCTTCTGACATTGAAGCTAACAGGATTTTTATTATTTACCTTAATGGCAATAGATTTAGAATAATACACCTATGCATAATATACATATATATTTAGAATAATATACATACAAAATACAAATTTAGAATAATTTCTAGAGAAACATATACCTATTTACATTTCATAAATTCTACCATGGTTACCTGAAAGACTGAATTTCCCCTCATTTTTTGTGTTCAGTAGTCCATGAACACTCATCTTCAGGTTCTAGAATCACAAGCATTCAGCTGTTTCTCAGGTGGTCAGAACCATTTTAATCTCTTTATAGCTGTACCCATTCTCAAGTTCAACGAAACCTGAAACCTTATAAATCCTATGCACTAGCACAGGATTTAGAAACCCTCAGTTCCGTTTTGTGTGGCATTGTGTCACAGACTAGTACAGAACCAACCAAGCCCTAAATTTAACTATATGCTCAATTTATTCTTGTTATTAGAATCCAACAGCATAACAAAGGTGCTTCACTCTCATCTCCATTTTCCCCATCATACCTTACAACCCTGTGGCAAACCCCAGACAGTTTCACCTTCCATTCTAAATTAAACATGCTGTCATGTCAAAGTCTTCCTGCATCTTCTTCCAAGGTATTGACTGAATGTTTCAGAGCTAAACGTTTTGAAGTCTGCTAATTAGTGTAGGTCAATCTCACCTTCATTTTGCGTAGTTTCTTATCTAAGGAAATTCTAGGAAAAGTAGCATTTGCATCCAAATGTAAACAATAATATCTTGTGCTTTAAAAATTCTTCCCAAAGGAGGAGGGTCGTAAGAAGAGTATATTCTAATACGAACTCAGTAGGGAGCAGAGGCACAAGGCATGAGGAACAGATAACTGAAAGTATTGGCCCACAGGAACACTGAAAGCATTTTTTTTAGAAAGGACTTTGCATGTTACTGAATTCGTTCTAGAAAAAGCCACAATTACATTTTTCAAGAAGTGAGACTTAACAGCCTATAAACAAGGTAGATTTTTTTCTTTGCTAGCCCCATCAAGATACCTAATGTGGTCGTCTATCCTGATTTTTTTTTAATGTGACTGACATGATTTTTGACATTCTATTTGCTACTGGATGAAGGGGTTGTTGAAGTCTGTATAAATCAAGCAGTTTGGACAATGCTGGCAGTATTTATAATGTTAGGCTGAGCAGATGTTTCAAATTTGCCTTCATTTGCATATATATTTTGTTTGAACATGCTCTTGCCTGTGTAAATGAGGAAGACATTTAGCTCTGCTGTTCCTTTAAATTCATTCCTCTTCAGTAATTGGACTGCAGATTTTAAATGGTTATAAGTTGTTTGATAGTGTTTCTGGGGCTTTTGACTTGAAATTTTTTTGAGACCCCGACTACATCGACAGTCTCTTATATAAGCAATTAAGGGCTTTTTCTCTCCTCAGCTTTCGTAAATCAAAAATTGTGACTTTTGTGCATGTAAGCCTGAATTCATAGTTACTGAACAGTGTTTATTGCAGCCCTTGACAAAGTGTGGCCTGTGGGCCGGTTGTTCCTCAAAGATTTCCCCATTCTGACTTGCAGCCATACTCCTCCTTCAAAACCCAAATTGTACCAAATTTGTTCGTATTGGTGACTGTTGCTCTGCAAGTTGTCTCATTAAGTTGGTGGGACTTACTTCCTTGTGTCAGTGGTCAGTAATAAAAGCGCATGATGCACCGTCAGAGTTTTAATTGTGAGGTCCAGCAACAGAAAAGATGATCCGAGTGATGCTGAAGCTGTGGCTGTTAGAGACGGATGTGTCTTTTGTGCTGCCTCTCCCTATTAAAGAAACTTAACTATTCTGGTTTGCACCATTTAAAGTCAGTAGGCAAATTGTGCTTTCAAATAGGCTAACTTTTGTGATAGTAGTGTGATGATTTTTTTTTTTTTTTGGTATTTCCTTTCAGAGCCTCCACAGTTTGTTGTGAAGCCTCGAGATCAGGTAGCTGCACTGGGGAGAACGGTGACTTTCCAGTGTGAAGCAACGGGAAACCCTCAGCCAGCCATCTTTTGGCGGAGAGAGGGAAGTCAGGTAAAACAGCCTTTCTGTCCCTCCTTCCTGGCAGTTTCTTGAAGAGATGAAGTCACATGAGAGAAAAATGTTTTAATGATTGTTTTAAAGATGTGGAAAATAGGTCTAGAGCTTGGAGATGCTGGATATTTCTTCTCTACCTCTAAGTCACATGCATGCTAGGTGGTGTCAGCTTTACTAGAAAGGATATCTATGTTTTACTCAATCTCCCGTTTTCTCCATGAATGTAAAAATAAATCTATGAAATAACTAGAAACATTCCATGTTTTACTACTGTGAAAATCTTTTTCCCCTAACAGGGAGAACTTTTAAGAGATGAAGACGTGACTAATGCTGAAGTTTGTTTGAACTCCTAAACACTCCCAAATTGTCAGAAAGTTTGGCTCTGGGTTTATGATGCAGCTATTAATTAGCCATGTGCTCATGTGTGTCTGGCAAACTAAACCATTTGCTGTATTGATCTGCATCACTGCATGGGTAGGACTCTGGTTTGGGGCTAAGGAGATCTCCTTTCCCACCCAGTCAGCTGGCTGACAGGTCATACCTGACTAGGTCACATTTCTCCCAGCGTCCTTATTTGAATGGGAGGCAAAAATATTTTCAGCTGCTTTGTAAAGGATCTTGATAGTTAGTGGATGAAACACAATACAGCACAGCAACAGAATCACAGTTTTCTTTCAGAGTCATCTTTTGAAGGAGGGATGTGACACAAAGTATTCTTTATTGGAAGGAAGGAAGGAATATGGGATTTTGTTTTTCCTGTGAATGAAGGAGTGAATGGTGCAATAGCATATAACAGGGTTCTTTGTGTTACAAAACAATAGGCCAGAGAAATTGAGAACACTTGGATATTGGCTGCTTTACTCCATTTGCAGCATTTCTGTCTAAATACCTAAGTACAACTAGACTGCTAATCAAATTTAGATGATAATCTTCAATGGTATAAGTATACCAGTATATTATGTTTGTATTTTTTTATGACCTGGATTGATTCCCCCCCCCCAAATGTTGTCTAGTACATAATTTTTCTGGCTCATTTTTGACTCTGCTGAGTGGTGACCACTTGTGATGCTTGAGGGAACTGGAGGAGGAGGTCAGTGAATGGGGTTTGCTAATACTGAAGTAGAGGGTGTTGTGTTCCATTCTTTTGGATTATTTTTGGAAATGCAAAATGTAAAAATGTAGTTAGGCAAGAAAGAGAGATAAAAAATAGCCTCTGTGACCTTGAAGTATTCTCATTCACAAATGGTTCAGCCAGAGGTAGAAATTCGGAAGCAATAGTTAGTGTAAAGGACTTGGATTATTTTGATTGCGGTTCTGATTTTTGACCGCTGCTGGTAAATGCTATGTACTTCATACCAAAACTATCTAACTAGAAACTGGCATAGGATTTAATTCTATATTATAAGACTCGTTATAGAACACAAACACTATGATTAGAGAGATCTAAACAGCATCCCTTTTTAAAAAAACACTTCATCCTTAGGAAGGTGAAAGTTAAAATACAAATAAGTAAACCAACATATGCATTTAAATGAAATAAATAGAATGTCCTGGAGTAAGTTCTAAAAAAGGATGTTAAAGCAAATTATTTAGGTTCACCACAGTTGCGTGCACTGTTATGGTATCTGTACAGATCACATCTTCGCTAGTGCTTGTTAAACTTTGTGTAAAGCCCAACGTTGTCCGTAGAGGGTGTTAGAGCAATCCCAAAAGACTTACACGCTTACATGTGCATGTCTGCACCTATTTTATCACCAAAAAATCCTATAAAAGCTATTCACATTGTGGTATAGACATGCTTAAGGTATGAAGAGCAGAATGTTTTATGTATAATGTGAAAAGATGAATTTGTTTAGATATAGTAAAACTAAGATTATTGATGTTTGAATTTATTTAACCCTTTTTTTCCCACTTTCTTTCCCATACATCTTGTAGAATCTGCTTTTCTCATACCAGCCCCCTCAGTCATCCAGCCGATTTTCAGTTTCCCAGACAGGAGACCTCACTATCACCAATGTCCAGAGATCTGATGTTGGGTACTATATCTGCCAGACTTTAAATGTTGCAGGAAGTATCATAACAAAAGCCTACTTGGAAGTTACTGATGGTAATGATACCTTTATTTTATCATTTCCGAGTTTTCATTTTTATTTCAAGACAGCAGTGGGGTGATATGATACTACTTTGAAATCTGTTTTGCATAAATACGGATTGCATGTGTCTTTAAACATAAAAATCCTGTTTCAGCCATCTCTGTTGGGGGTTTAAAATTTGGGATATTGTGTAACACTGTATTTCCATTTTGTATTCAGCAAATATACTTCAGTTTATGGGTTTTTGTCAGATCTGTTAATTTTTCTGGCTTTTCTTTAGGTTCCCCCACTAGATTTAGTTTACTTTCAGATTGCTTGCTGCCTCGCTCTTTATCCCTGTTATTGTGTGTCTGTTTGCTTACCATTTCCATTTACCTGTTTTTTCCCTAGTTTTTTAATATTGCAGTGTAACAAGGAAAAAACCTCAACCTGTATGGAAGTCAGTAGAATAACATATAAATGAATGTTATTATATGTTCCTTTTTAGGAGCAGTTGGGAAAAAAATTTAAGATTAAAAAGCTACAGGTAGCATGACTGTAAGCAGTAACATGCTGATGTGAGGCCAATTTGCCAATTATCAGAAATACTTCATATTTTTAATAGCAAAGATACACAGGAAAAATAATAGTCTTAGCACTTACGGAAAAAGAGGCTAAGTGCAGTCTGTGGACAGACTTTGAGGGGAGGGAAGCTGTTGTCTGAGAAGAGTTTCCATGAACTAGGCCTTTGCCCTATAGAAAACATAGAAATAATGCCATACTAGAAACATGCAGTGAACCTGGAAAATAAAAGTGTTTATTTACACCCACCGGATTGAGATTGTTCAGAGGAATAGGACTGCATCCTTTCTAGTTTCTCACAAGTGGTAAGCCACATTTCTTAATCCACTTCTATCCATTTTTCACTGGGGAGAAGGCCATGGCAAGGTGAGAAATTTTAAAAAGAAAATTAAGAAAATTAAGAGTTTTTCTGTTAATGACCTATGTCATCTGAATTTGGAAAAAATCAAATTAATTTAAATATATTTCCTTTACTGTGACTGTATGCTCTGCGTTGATCTGATGGGTAGTTCTTTTGTAGAATGTCTTGGGACAATATTTTTTTGGTACTTTTATAAAATGAAGGCAGGATATGCAGAATGATACCCTGCTGTCACCTAAAGGTGATAGGAGTTGCCATCAACTTCAGTGGCACTTAAATTAGCCATGGATTTCAGTGGCATTAGATTTCTCCTGTAGAGCACAGATCGGTCAGCCTCTTACTATTGACATCTGCAAACCTCTTTACAAACTTGTCAAAGTCAAATACAAACTGTAAATGAGTTTATTTTGACTGTCTCTGCAGAAAAAGATACTAATGGCCTCGCAGTGCATTACAACAGGTTGGGACAAGAAGTAAAGAGTAAATTATGCAGTTGAAAACACAGAGTGTCATTTGAACATGCAAATGAAATTATGGGAGTTGGAATTTAGCCAAAAAAAGCAGTACTAGCACCCTGTCTGTTGTTATGAAAAGTAATTTAGAAATATGTGATGTTCACAAATTATCAGAACTTCAGGTTTGTATTTCAGGTACCAAACCATTTTTTAAGTTACATGAGACCCCTTGACACTGCTGAACAGATTTATGTCATTTAAAGTTGTGGCTATTTTCAGATCATCAGCCCATGTCATGTTGGATGGTACAGGTAGAGGAGGTCACTGAAATGCAATAATATAGCTTTTACCTCTTCTTTTGATTATCCATTGGATAATGGAAAAACAAACCTCACGTAGACAATCACTCTTTTTTTTCTGCGAATACTGAGACTGCTTTATACCTTCCTGTTCACAGTTATTAAATAACCCATTGATAACATTTAATTTTCATTGTGTGAAAGATGCATTAAAATTCATGTAAACACACTGTGGGATTCTCTTTGTGACTTCGAAGTCCTATTGACAGATTAAGTCATCATAGAACTAAAAGTCAGAAACTACTGGGAAAATATTTCTTCGCTGAAAATTTTTAATATGGTCCTATTCAGTAGCTTTGTGTTTACTTTACCCTATTGCTAGGCATCTCCCAATTAAGAAACAGCACCAAGATGAGTTGATGGTGTACAATAAAATTTTTTTTAAGTACACATTTGTCAGGTTATCCCCTGCCTGCCTATCTCCTTTGTCTCTGTCTTTGAATGCTGAAGTATTAATTGTGTTATACAGGCCTGCTATGTGGTAGAAGAACAAGAAGGTGAAATCTGTCCCTTGACAAAGAATTTGGGAAGTTCTTTCTCATTCCATTATCACTTTATAAAGACATTGGAATTAGAGAATGCCTAGCAGATACTGCTATGTAATATGTAATGCTTCTTTACTTTCTGAAAATACTGTGTTGTGTATCATTCTAAAATTCTGTAGCTATGCATCATTATAATCATAGAATCATAGAATCGTCTAGGTTGGAAAAGACC